AGATGAGCTATTTCTATGTGTGTTGTTACCAAGACTTGGTTGCATTCATGTTACAGTGGATCTCCAGGAAGGAAGAACCAAGGTGCTATGATATCACAGTGGCACCTACTAATATTTCAGAGAAAAAAAATAGGAGGCCAGGCTGAAGTTTGACATATTTTGAATGCCTCATGAGTGATATACAGCAGTCATTAAAGAGGAGGCAAAAATGGGGAGACCAGAAAGGGAAAATCCTCGGGAATATGTATGCTGGGTTTTGCAGGCACTAAGAGATTCCATGTGGCCAGTGACCATCAAAGACATAGACAAGGTTGAAAAAAGTGTTGGGAACCTACTCATCATTTCAGTTAGTATAAAAGTAGATTTTGATCTTAAATATTTAATGTCTTTCCAGCTGACTTTCCAAGTGGATCTGCTAGAATTATTTCATTCTATGTGTTTATTTTCCTTTGTGGTGTTTGAGTATTTGTCTTTGTCTTAGAGAGCATATTTGAACTTTTTGGTTTTCATTTTATATTTTTTCATGTATGGTAAAAGTTTAGCCAAATATTTAGATGAAACACAACAGGGACCTTTGAATAATGTTAAAACATTTGAAGACATTGGGATACTGAGAATAAAATGAATGCTTCATTTTGAGAAAGACATAAAACTTTGGGGTCAGAGAAAAATGCTGTAGTGTTGGGAATAGGCTAATTGTGTCTCTCAAAAAGTCAGAAGTTCATAACTTGGTGCAAAATGTGATGAGTTTCTTTAATGGAAATTTGCTCCAAGTAAAAATGACTACAAAGTTTAGAATTATAGTCTGAAGAATGGGCAATAAGATAAGAAAACAAGTTATCCAGTGAGCAGCCAAATTTTCAACCAAGACTGTTTTTTTTTTTTGTCTTTATTTTAGGGTAGAACCTATAGGGTGTTCAGGTTCCCACTACTAGATTGGACTGGTACTGATCCTCCTGTTTAAAGACTCCCAAGAGTTGGTATTATAGGTGTGCACCACCACACCCAGTCTCAATCGCCTTCTCAGCATTGCCTCAGGGGTAGGGGCAGCATTGCAGGCCAGGAGATTGAACCCCTGAGTCCTGTCCCTGCTTTCAGTTGCTTTCATCTGCTGAGCTATTTTCCTGGCCTTATGACTATCTTAATGAAGCTTACTATCACTGCTGTGGGTCTTAGTATCACAACTCACAATACCAGTGTAGCTGCTCTGGAGATGAGTCACATTTTCTTGCATCTTGATATTATTCCCTTGGGTACATTTACTCTTTTGTCTCTGCACATTTCTCCATAATATAAATCATGTACATTTGGATTGGTTTGTGCCACTCTAGGTAAGATGCCTTCACTTTACATGGGCGGGGAGTATGAAAGCAGTATCATACTTATTTTGTGTTTTAAAATGTGTTTGAAATGAGTTCAGATGCAGTCATTTAATAAATGAGATCTGTTGCACTCTATCTAATCTCTTTAAATAGGATTCCTAAATATTTTCTTTTCTTACTTATTTTCCTTCTCAACCTTCAGTGATATATAGGTTACCACAATTTGCCTCCAACCACTTCTTGTTATTTTTTCTCTTAGCATCTAGTAGATCCATCTGTTTAACTAAAGGCTCCCACTGCAAATTTGCCAAGACTGAAGATCACAGTTTCATTCTTGCTATCACTTACATATCACCAAGTGATGTCTCCTTCACTGTCCAACTTTTAATATCTACTATGTAATCTAATCATCTTATTGTCCATTCTCTTAATTACTCCACATACCACATCACATTTGGACTAGACACTACTCTAAGTTCACATCACCAGAAGAGCATATTGAAAGTACAATTCTCATACTGCTGACTCTATTTCTTGAGTAACACCTCATATAATTTTTTGTACAATGAGCTCTCCTAAACAATGGAGATGTATTTGATAAATCCTAGACAACAGTAATAGCTTCATGATTACTATCCCTAATTTTAATGCTCCCTTCCTACCAGCACTTTATAATCTATGAAAGTATAAATCAAAGAAAATCGCATTATATCATTCCACATCATAAGATATTTTAACATAGGTTACTTGAAGAAATAAGTTTCAAATTCCTTTACATGATATTCAATTATGTTTATAATTTTGGAAATTCAAGTAGCTGTGATATGGGCTGTGAATGTGTCTAATTGAGAGGATCTCCATCCACATTGAATATTTCTCAATATATTTGTCAGAAATATACCCCTTCATTTTTTCTAGATATTATTCTTCCAGTAAATTTATTGAGCTGAATTAATAAAAGCATTTGCCATTCTATTGCTGCCTAATTATTTGTAGTAGAATAGTATATATTCTGAAAAGTGCATTATGTCGGTGTATAAAAGTGCTTTTAACACAACTTGTCTTCTATTTTTCACCATATAAACTTTTATTAATTTGCACCTGTGAATTACATTTCTGTTCAGTGGACATCCAGGAAAGACCTGGCAATGAAAAGTGGAACATTGTTGACAGCATTTCTCCTCACAGGATTCCTACCTGGTTACTTATTCAACATTTATTAGAGTTTTTGTAATGATCTCCCCTCTATCTGTATTATTTTTTCTATGCATAATTCTTTTTCACTAGGAAAATTGCAAACAAGCAGGGAGATGGATTAATGAAAAAATGTATTTTTATTTGCTATTTTATGGTTGCCTTGAAATTTTGAGTAAATTCAAAATATTTCTCTCCCATAGTCACTTCAAACTCAAGGAAAAGGCAGAAGATGCATGGCATCACATCCAGTGAAAAAACTAGGGTAGGGCGCCACACGATGTTTATGACCTGTTTTTCTATTCCATTGGACTTGACAGCTGCAGGCCCTATGTGTTTGGTCACATCTAATGGAGACAGTGACAAATGGAGCCTTCCACAACTATTCCAGCAAGGAGTAAAAATGATGATGTGAATATTATCACCAGGAAGAACTATTTTAAGGGAGATTAGTGGCAACCTGCGTTTTGACTATTTCAACTGATTCATTTTATAATTTGATAAGACCTTGTGTGTTTGTCTTTCTCATAACTTCCCAGACATGAGATGAAGATTAAAATTTTTATTTTATACAAGACTTTTACTTTAGAGATAATTATATATATAGCAAATATTTAGATATCAAATATAAAAGCCATAAGTATTTATTGAATTTTCTTTTTTATTTAATTCACAGGTCATTTGGTTTACGTAGAAAAGGAAATTTGAGCACATTGTTACCAGGTTCACAATTCCTTAATTGTTTTTATTTTAACCTGTTGAAAAGAAGAAAATATTGGCATAGCCTTGCATGCTTTTTATGATCTCTTAAATGCTGATTCCCTGTGTCACCATCTGGCTTCTTTATTTCCTTCACTTGCAGGCTAGGCATGTTTATACTTTTTGAGTTTCTCTAACATCTTGTAATCTAGTTCTTTACAGGACAAGCACTGCATGGGTGCTAGGTACCAAGAGTCAATAGGCATCTCCTATTTGCAAAGTAAGACACCATAATTTGAGTCCAGAGCTACTGGAACAAATCTGCTTTTCAAGAAGTTCTTTAGCTCATTATTGTGCATTTGTGTTTGCAAAGTGCAAATATTGTTCACTTTCCACTGAGAAATATGCCTTATTTTTCTTTAGCAATGTCTTCTAACATTTCACAGTTAGAAATTCTCATTAATTTGCCTGTTAAAGTGGTGAAGTTAGGTTTTTATTTAAGAATGATAGAGAGTTTTCATGAGGAAAGGAGGTATACTTGGAGTTGATTTCTGCAGGGAACCTAGATTTGGGGATAATTAACATCTTGCTTTAATTAGCTCACATAGAACCATGCCAATCAAAATCCACATAGCAGTATATTTTAGATACAAATTGCTTTCTGTAATGAATCCAGAACTATCCCTTATGATGGACATTATTGAGTGAATCTGCAATTTAAGATGTTAAAATAAAAATATCAATGATGACTCGATGTTTATAGTTACAGAAGTCTGTAATGCCTGGGGACAACCTAGATTTCTTTTTTCTTTCCCTTTCACAGTTCCCAGTAGAATAGCATCACTTTGTCCTTCAGGAAATGCTCTGGTTCACTTAGGGGAGCTTGGGGTATACACTACTTCCACTTATGGACAAAACACAGTCATACAACTAGTTTATATTTACATTCAATGAAAACAATATTTTATATAAGCGACTTTTGCCTTAGAGTGGAGGATCAAAATAATTGTTATTGTCAATGCTGAACTATTGTAGTCTTTTGTTTTATAAAGACTGATACTTTTCACAGATATCTACTGTCTTTTTAAATTTTGGGTAAGCAAAATTATATTCAGAATGTTTTTACAGAAGTTTCAAATATTGCTCATTTTTTAATAACGGAGATGTTGTATACAAGATACCTAAAGAGTGAGATGAAAAGTGGAATGTGATGCATTGTCTTTATATTTTATTTTGAAGAAAACTTGGATAAAAACTAATGCTATGAGACTAATTTGTTCCTTTTAATGAATTTATATAGTGCCCTATGGATTTAATGTTACCTCCCTACAGGCATTTTGTATGCTGTTAAATATTTCGGTAAATTTTTATCATATCACTCATAAGATATATTACGAATACACTATTTGAGAAATAAAATTCAAATTGATTTACATGACATTTAATTCATTTTATATTCCTGGAAATTTCAATAACTTCATTCTGGGTTCTAAAGGTGTGAACAGCTTTTTTTTTCTACATTCAAAATAATTCTCAGTAAAGTTATCATAATCATAGCATTTTTTTCTGTAAATGTTAAACCTCAGCATATTTTTTATCATGAATTAAGAGAAATATTTATCTTTTTGTTTTCTCAAGCTAATTTCTTATATCACAGCAGTACATGTTCTGGAAAGTGCATTTTCACATTGTATAAATGTGATTTTATTGCAATTTTTATACTATAATATTAATCTTATAGAGCCTTATGAATCTCAAGGTATTAAAGAATACATTTCATTTCAGGGGACATCTAGTGAGGACATGGAAATGAAAAATGCAACACTGGTGACAGAGTTTGCCCTTGAAGGACTCCCCTATAAACCAGAATGGCAGATCCCCCTGTTCCTGGTGTTCCTGGCAATATACCTCACCACTATTGTGGGAAACCTCGGTCTCATTACTCTCATCAGGAATGACCCTCACCTTCACATACCCATGTATTATTTCCTTGGGAATTTAGCCTTTGTTGATGCTTGGGTGTCATCTACTGTGACACCAAAGATGCTGGCTAACTTATCAGGTAAAGATAAGATGATGTCTTTGTCTGAATGCATGATACAATTTTTCTCCTTTGCCATCAGTGTAACCACAGAATGTTTCCTCTTGGCATCAATGGCTTATGATCGCTATGTTCCCATATGCAAACCTTTACTTTACCCACTGATTATGACCACTAGACGTTGCATCCAGCTATTAGTGTCATCATTTGTAGGTGGCATTATTCATGCCATAATTCATGAAAGTTTTCTATTCAGATTAACCTTCTGTAATTCCCACATCATACATCACTTTTATTGTGATATCATACCATTGTTAAAGATTTCCTGTACTGATCCTTCTATTAATTTTCTAATGATTTTCATTTTCTCTGGTTCAATACAAGTATTCAGCATAGTGACTATTCTTTCTTCTTACACACTTATTCTCCTTACAATTTTAAAGAAGAAGTCTGAAAAAGGTGCAAAAAAAGCCTTTTCCACTTGTGGAGCCCATCTCTTCTCTGTGTGTCTGTACTATGTCCCTCTACTTTTCATGTACGTGCATCCAGCATCTTCACAAGCAGATGATCAGGATATGATTTTCTCTCTGTTTTATATGGTCATAATCCCTGTGTTAAATCCACTAATATACAGCCTGAGAAACAAGCAAGTCATAGATGCACTGAGAAAGATGTTAAGGAGAAATGCTTAGGTCTCTTATTAATATCAACTCTCAAAATTAAAATAAATTTTGAAGAAAATTTGAGTGTCTGCATTAGTATTTAAACATGATTGCAGTCATAACTTTACCATGCTGAGGAATTAATCTTTTGATACATATTAGTTTCTTAAATTGTTAGCATCATTTTTCCACAATTTTATACATATTTGATACCATAGCAGTAAAATTAAAAGTGAAGCCAAGTGAAATAATTTTACAGATTGTGTTCTTCCATTATATATATTCTGACCTTGTGTTCTTCCATTATAAATATTCTGACCACTGGGCAGAATTCTTTCTTTTCATGTAGATTTTAATATGATATGTGTACAAAGATTATAATTTAATGTAGCTTTGGAATCATGTGAGTTTTATGTCATTGTGTTGGAAGTTTTCTTTCATTCCATTTCCCTGTGGAAATGGGTGGATTCAATCCATATATCACACAGAAATATGGACAAATTCTTCAACCAAATTTTAAAAATTAGAAAGGATTTAAAACAGGTAAATTTGGGAAAAACTGTGAAGATTTTCTTAGTTCAGTTTTTATTTTTGACAATTAAATGAGTTGTGCTACATACTTCGATGATTTTTTAAAGTTTTTAAATTTTATATTAGTTTGTTTTATTTTGAATAGGAAAAATTGAAGCAAATATAATTAAAAATGACAGAAATAAGGCAATACAATAATGCATATGTTGCAGATTTTCAAAAGTTGAATAACTAATTAACAATGGTTGTTATATTATCTATTTTTACCATAAAATCTATTGCTCTGGTTAACAGATAGAGCTATACAGGAATGGGGAAAGAATTGAATACTAGCACTTGTTTTCAAGAAGTTCTAATCTTTTTCCTTGTCTTCTTTATTTTAATTTATTTAATTTATTTTTTGTAATTTATTTTAAAGACAGCATAACAATCAATAAGACATTAGGAACAGTACACATTTAGAAGGCCAAGATAAGAGACATTCAATTATTGGTTTTGTATTACATATTGCTGTCCTCGATATAGTTACTCAGATCTCAGACATCAGCCTATAGTGTTAGTCAAGGAGAAAATTCTAAACATTAACTGCTGTTTTCAAAAAAAAATTAATGGAAATTATGAGTACAATCATCTCAGCCATCCTGTATATACACTTGCAAGTTTTCTCTTTCATCCTTTTTTCCAATTTTTTTCATTTCTCTCATCTTCAGTATTTAACCCTTAAGTTCAGTTTCTTTCCATTTTACTAAATCCATTATACCTTTCACATTTTATTTATTGTTTTAGGTTTTTGCACTAGAAAAAGTCTGTGATATTTACATATGTGGGTCTGATTTATTTCATTTATGAATATAGCATCCAGTTGTATTTACTTAGCAATAAAGGATTCAAATTTGTATTTCTTTATAATTATTACTCCTCTGCATAGAAATACCACCTTTTTCATCCATTCCTCAAGTGATGGACATTTGGTTGTTTTCAATATTTAGCTCTAAGAAATTGTGCTGTTATAATCAGGGTTGCACATATATCACTGTTGTGATGTTTTCAGTTCTTTTTGGAAAATTCCTAAACACAGAGAAAAGACAACCCACAAAGTTGGAAAAAAAATCATAACCATTAATCACTCAGGCAAAAAACTTTTATCTAAATTATATGGAGAACTAAAATAATTGGGCCCAAAATTTAAAGATCCAATTCAAAAATGGGCATTTGAGATGAATGCATATTTCTCAGAGAAAGAAATACAAATGGCAAATAAATACATGAAAAAAATGTTAAAAAAAAAAACACTGGTCATTTGAGAAATGCAAATTAAAACAACATTGAGATACCATCTCACTCCAGAAAGAATCGTGGTCATAAAGCAATCAACTAACAACAAATTCTGGAATGGCTGTGGGGATAAAGGGTCCCTTCTCTACTGCTTGTGGGAATGTAGACTGGTATAACCACTATGGAAGTCAGTGTGGAGACTTCTCAAAAATCTAGGACTGGAAGTCCCATTCAATAAGTTTTTACAGATGTATTAGTTTGTTTCTGAACAATGAGCCAATTTTAATTCCCTCACTAGTTCCGAACATAATAGATCTAATAATTTAATATGGGTGGACATGGGAAAGTGGAAGAATAGAAGGAAATGTTTTATTCTTTCATTAAAATATAGAAAGTTCATTACCTTTTAAAATATACTGAAACGTATTATTCATACAAGGGATTTTAGGTACATATTACCAATGTTCAAGTAGCGATGAAATAGTATATACATAGTGTCCAGTGGTTTCTTTGGGAAGGAAAATACATAAGTGCTAGATTTGGATGATCTGTACATTGTTTTATGCAACATGTAATATTCACGTATATATTTGGTGTTTCTCTCCAGAAAGGAATTCCATACATTTTCCTAGTGATAACACTGTGTCCCCCCTTCTACAATCTACTCATCTTTATGTACTCAAAGTTCTAATTACTTTGTTCTTTCACCCTAGAAACACTCTGCCATTCCATAATTTGTTAATTGATTCATTAGTCGTATGTCATAGAATAAAGGCAATTCCCACTCTAACTTTTAGCAGGCTGTTAGTGCTATTAGGCCGAATCTGGAGTGCTTTTGTTGATTTCAGATAAACTGCTTTTATATTAGCTTAGATCAGCGCCATTTATTTGTATGACAATATGTCCAAATTACAAGATGTGCATGTATATGTGTAGCTGTACATATAGATACAAACATACATAAATGTGTAGTTTGTATTTGCTCATGGTGGCATTATTTTTGTCTCTTACCAATATAATGTTTATTTAACTTTGTTTTTTTTTCTTCTACAGTTCTTGAACTAAAATATGTATTATTGCCAACAAATACTTTGTTTATCTGTCATTTATCCTTCTAGGCATAGTTTTCTGCTTCAGCCATGTTTTTGATTCTGCAAGTCTTTCACTTGTGAGTTCCATTCAGGCTGTTTTTGTTCTTTCTTCACAGAGCACCCATTTTATTCCACTCTTGTTTACTAAATTTTGTTGCTGCATCATGCCCCAATTGCACTTCTGACTGCTTCTTGTTCATACATAGGATTTTGACAACTTCTGAAACACTTAGATGTCCTATACAGTTTTATCAAAAATGTCATGCCCTCTTATTAATCTTCTCTGTTTTGTTTACAATTCAAACTAGTTTTGCCTTCCATAAATTCACTGAAATCACTCCCGCTGATGTAACTCTCTTCTTATCTTATAGGTTTATTTTTTATATATATACTACCTTATTAAATGTCCCTAAGATGCCTGGGATGAAATGAAATAAATTTATCAATCCATTATTTTTGACAAAATACTTGATGCTTTTATTTTCCATTTAATAAAGTATTTAATACAAGATAAATTGAATTCATGTGTCTGATTTATTACAGGTAATATTGTTCTTGAAGTACAAGCGTTTACCTAGAAATGCCTCAACAGTACCTATCCTTTTTCTTTTCATTTATGAATGGGCATATAAGCATTTTTGCAAGACTGAAATATCATAATTCTATTCCTATAAACACATGTATTTACACATGAACTTAATATGATGACTTTAAGCCATTTGAAAAGATACTGAGCATATGAACTCCTGGGTCTAAAGTAACTTCTATTTTTGTTTTATTGAAGATTTTCCATAAATCTCTCCAGGGCACTTATAATAGTTTACCTACTCACCAAAAATTTTAGAATGTTCCTCTGCCCATAGAACTTCACCAGCATTAGTTATTATGCAATTTATTGCTGGAAGTCATTCTTTCTGAGTTAAGATGAAATCTCAGCAATGTTTTCACTTACATTCCTCTAGTAGACAGCTATCCTCAAATTTTTTCCACATTTTTTTTCTCCATCCTTACTTATTGTTCTAAATATCTATTCATTTTATGTACCGAACTTTATTGTATATTTTATTTCAGAGCATCTATGTTTTGAGTTCTTTATACATTTTTGATGTTAGTTATCTTTCTGAGAAGTAGCCAAGAAACAATTTTTACATTCTGTACATTGTCCCTTTACTTTATTGGTTGTCTCCTATGATGTGAGTATTTTTATTAGATATAATAACATTTTGATTCTTGTACTATTTTGTTTGACACTGGGCTTCAGTTTGGTAAGGTACTACTTGCACTCATGTCCATAAAAGTTTTGCCTATCTTACATTCTAACATATTAAATATTTCTGTTTGAAGTGTTTCTTTTCAAATATTTATCTCTTTCATTCACTTTGATTTTAGTTTAGTAATGCTCAGATATATGATTATGGACTTAATCTTCTGTATGTTGATGTCAATTTTTCCCAAACCTACTTATTACAAAGGCTATCTTTTCTGCAGATTATGCTTTTGGTCTTTTTGCCAAAGATTAGTTAATTCAAAAGTCCAGAGTTGTTTCTGAATCCTCATTTGTATTCCAATAATTCTCCTGTCTGTTTTTACAGCAGCATCACCTTCAAATCAGGGATTTTGATGCCTCCAGCATCGTGACAATTACTGAGAATCATTTTTGTTATTTTCAGAATCTTCCAGTTTCACTGAAAATTTGAGATTGTTTTCTCTACATCTGTAAGGATTGCTGTTCATATTTTAATTGGAATTCTGTTAAATCCATATATCAGTATGAAAGCATCACCCTTTTGATTATATTTCTTCTGATTCTCAAGAATATGGACTATTTTTCCATTTTCTTATAAACCCTTCAATGTCTTTCTTCATATTATACATTTTATTGAAAGAGGTCTTTTTATTTTGTTTTGTTTTATTTTATTCAGAATCAAATATCAATGAGACACTTTCCAAGCTGATAAATAGGACATATTCAATAATTAATATATTGCACATTGATATCTTCTCAACAGTCACCCACAGCACAAGAAGCAGCCAGGACATCCTGTTAAAAACACTACTATTGCAAATCCTTCCTCTCACTGAAGCAGGCAAAAGCAGCCATACATCTATCCTAACTATTCTGTATATACAAATACAAAATTGTCGTTCCTCTGTATCCCCCTCTCCAGTTCAATCCTGTCAGAGATGGGTATTCTATTGCCATCTAAATATTATAGGTGCTTGAATTCAGCAAAACAATCCAACACAGTTCAGTAGTCCACAATAGTAGGGGGTTGTCCGCAGAAGTTGTTGACTAGAACCTTTTACAGCTCAGCATGTTAATATGGCTTTACTTTATATACCTCATTTTTATACTTTTCTGCTGGATGGTTAAGATCAAGATAAAGCAAGACCTATATAACAAGAAATATAACTTTTGTATTTGATAAGGTCAGTCAAGTCCCTTCAGAATTTATCCTGCAACCCCTTACTGCACTTTCTAGATCCTTTGTCAGTGTCAGCCATGTGGCTGAGTCATGGCCAATGCATGACCAATTTTCTTTCTCTGAAAGACTGAGAGAAAGTTTTCTCTCCCTGTGACTCTCCTTGAGCACACTATACACCATCAATCACATTCTTCTGTGGATCTATAATCTCCTTGATCAGGAAATTTATGGCACAACTGAGTTACATGAAGTTACAGTACAGGTTCTCCTATGTCCTCAGTCTTCACTGACCTAGAAAGGCTTCAGTCAAAATGTTGGCAGACCTTGCAGCCCTACCTTTTCTCCAAAGTTTTGATCTGCAAACTTAGGTTACTAACCCTGCAGAAGAGAAGCTTATTATTACCCTGCAACATATGCAACCCTAACTATCTGTCTAAATATCAAGCATCTTAGTCATAACATGGAACAGATATCTTCCATCAAGTATTGATGTGTTAAAATTTAAGTCCTTATGGAATATGAAGAAAAAAATTTAAAAAATAGGAATAAACATATTTTCACACAGAAATTTAGCATTTGATTTAGCACATATTTTCACACAGAATTTTACCTCTCATATACAGCATTGTAGCAGGACAGTTTTCTGACAATTTGTTTTCTTTATCTTGTGTCTTTTTCTTTTTCATTTATGATCCATTTAAAAAAAAGAAAAGCAGTAAAACAACAAAAAAACCCTTTTACTTGTGAGACAGTATGGTAATAAATGGAATGTCATGACAAGAAATATGTATTTAGAAGATCAGAATGGCAGGCATTCCAAGCTTGATCCTTCTATTAAACATTGCTATCTTCAGCGCAGTTGCTTGGTTCACAGGTATTGGCATATATAGTTAGTCAGGTTGAGAATCATACCAATTGACTGCTAGTTTCAAAACCTGCTGATGTTTCTCAGGATCATTGCCTTGCCCATCTTGTGCACACAAGTGTATGGGTTTGTCTCTGTCCTGTTTCTCAGCTTTACTCATTACCCTCTCCTCGTTGTCCAGTCCTCAAATTCTCACTTTCCTTTTAGTGGTGTTTTACCTCTCTATTTGTATTTCTTTTTTTGATTTCTTACACTAGGGAGACTGTACAATATTTACACGTGTGTGTGTGATTTATTACACTTATGAGTATCTTATGAGTATATTGTCAAGATGGCATCCACTTAAATATAAATGCTTCAAGTTTATCATTCTTTATAGCTGAGTAATACTCCAATGTATAAATATACCTCGTCTTTTTCAACCATTCCTCATATGATGGGCATCTTGGTTGTTTCCAAAATTTGGCTATCACAAATTGTGCTGCTATAAACATAGGTACACATATATCACTATGATATGACATTCTCAGTTCCTCTGGGAAAATTTCCAGGAGAAAGATAGCTGGTTTGAATGGGATTTCTAGTCCTAGTTTCTTTCTTTCTTTCTTTCTTTCTTTCTTTCTTTCTTTCTTTCTTTCTTTCTTTCTTTCTTTCTTTCTTTCTCTCTCTCTCTCTCTCTCTCTCTCTCTCTCTCTCTCTCTCTCTCTCTTTTTTTTTTTTTTTTTTTTTTTTTGGTGGAACCGGGGATTGAACTCAGGCCCTTGCACTTGCCAGGCAAGTGCTTATTTCACTGTGTCATCTCCCTGGCCCCTAATCCTGGTTTCTTAAGGAGTCTCCACACTAATTTCCATAATGGTTGTACCAGTCTACATTCGCACCAGCAGTGGAGAAGGGTTCCCTTTTCCCCACAACATCTCAAGTATATTTTGTTGGTTGATTTGTTTATGATAGCTATTCTTTCTGGGATGAGAGGGTATCTCAGTGCTGTTTTAATTTGCATTTCACCAGTGGCTAGTGATGTGAATCATTTTTTCATATATTTATTCGCTTCTTTAAATTAGTCCTCTGAGAAGTGTGCGTTAATCTCAGATGCCCATTTCTGGATTGGGTCATTAAATTTAAGGGCCCTATTGTATTTTCATTGTTTATAAATTCTAGAGAGCAGACCTTTGTCTGGGTGCTCATTAGTTAAGATTTTTTCTAAATTTGTGGTTTGTCTTTTCACCTTGTTGGTAATTACATTTGATGTGCAAAATCTTCTCAATAAGTGTTGGTACCAGTTGTTAACTCTTTCAAGTGTTAACCGTGCAATTTGATTTTTGTTCATGAACTCTTTGCCTTCCCCTATATCTTCAAGAGTTCCTCCTACTTTCTCTTCCAGGAGATTTAGTGTTTCTCTTTTAATGTTTACATCTTTAATCCATTTTCCCATAATTTTATTGATAAATAGCAATGAGGCAGTTTCAAATCAAATTGGCAGGGCAGTTACAATAATTAACACATTGCCTTTAATCCATTTTGACATTAGCTTAGTGCATGGTGATAGACCTGGGTCAAGTTTTTGTTTTCGGCATGTAAAGAGCCTGTTTTTCCAGCAGCATTTTTAAAGGGGTTATCTTTCTTCAAGTAAGCATGTTTGGCCCCTTTGTCAAAGATCAGGTGGCTCAATGTGTTTGCAGAGGCCTCTGCATCTTCCAAACTATTCCATTGATACTCAGGTCTATTTTGTTGCCACTACCATTTGTGGAAGGCACATTACTCCAGGCCTCCAATCCTATTGCAAGTGGGTTTCTGGGTTCCTCTTCCCCTACATCTGCTGAGCTAAGTTCCTAGTTCTTCTTACCCCACCTATTTCCCATAAGTCTCCTGCTATGTCCTGGAGGTGGGACTTCCTCTCATAGCCCAGTTGCCTAGTTACTAGCACCTTTTACCCACTGACATCATTTCCCTATGCCTCCACTATATACACCCAGAATTTCCTTTGAATAAATGAGACTTCATCAGAATCCTGTCTTGTCTTCATTTCTCACGTCTCATGTCCTTTGTCCCCTCTTCAATTCCCCGCTCCTCTCCCAGGTGACCTATTTTGACTAACCCGTGCATTGGGACAAGTGGCACCGAATGTGTGGAGCACCTGGTACAGAGGATTCAGTGACAGAACCATCTGAGAGAGCTGGCAAGAGTGAAAGTAAAAGAGGCCCACGCCACAGTTGCCTGCTGTGGCATCTGAACCTCAGTAAGCGAATGGCACCCCTTTCCCCTTCCCTTCGGCAATGGGACAGGCATTAAGTGAACATGAGATATTTGTAGAAAGCTTGAGTAAAGCATTAAAGTCACACAGGAGTAAAAGTTAAAATTAAGGATTTGTGTCAATATTTTGAATATATTAAACAAGTTTGCCCATGGTTCCCTATTGAAGGAACTATTGATCAGATGTTATAGAAAAGTGCTGGTGATGCCCTTAAGGATTATTATGAGACTTTTGGACCAGAAAAGTTGTCAGTTATGGCCTTTTCCTACTGGAATTTAATTAATGAAATCTTATCCCAGAGACACTGTGACCCAGTTGTTTCTAATGTGATAAAAAAAAGGGTGAAAATATACTACAGGGACAAAAAGGTAAAACTCATCTTAAAGGACAAAGAACCCTCTAAGGGTGTGTGCCCTCCTGTAAGGGAACAGAATCTTGAAACTGAAACCAGGAAGCCAGAGCCACCCACTGTCCCTGAGGTTCCCAGTGTATACCCTGACTTGTGACCCTTCAGAGTCTAACACATAATAATGGTGGCTCTGAGAAGGAAGCTGTTGATTGGAAAACTCTGGGTGATGAGGCTACTAAATACCACCCGCTATCACCACAGATTTCACTTTTTTAGAACTTAAAGGAAAAAGGGGCATCTTCTAACATGATTAAGGGGCTAGAAAATAAAGTTAGAGACGTCCAAAACCAGATAAAATTAGAAAAACAATGTTTTGACCTAGCCCAAGAGCTTGCAGTGATTTGCAGTAAGAGGACTGACCATGAGGCATCCGCCATTTTGCCCCCCTCTTCTTCTCGGTCAAATCTTAAAAGCAAAATGGCCGCCAACTGGGCATTTCCAGTGACTGAGACACAAAGGGTGGGAAATAAAAGGCAACAACCCCAGATTATTAGAACACACACACCTTTTGATTTTTAACTGTTAAAAGAGTTAAAGGCTGCTGTCACACAATATGGCACCATGACATCTTATACACTTACCGTATTAGACTCCATGACTCAGGGATGGCTCACCCCTAAAGACTGGTATACATTAGCCAAAGCTGCTTTGTCTGGTGAAGATTACTTGCACTGGAAGTCAGAATATCTAGAAAATTGTGACTCTACAGCCAGAAGAAATGCAGAGGCTAGAAATGGTTGGACTGATGAGGTGCTAGCAGGTGTGGGGGACTTTTCCACCACCGAACATCAATCTAGGTATAATACAGGACTGTTTGCTCATATTCAGCTGGCTGCAACTGGAGCATGGAAAAGGCTGACTTCCCATGGGGAGGCTACTACTTCCCTTACAAACATGAAACGGGGCCCAGAACAGCCATTTCTAGATTTTGCCCATTGGCTGGTCCAAGCCGCTGAGAGACTGGTTGGTAGTATACAGTCTAATTCTGACCTGATCAAATAGCTGGCTTTTGAAAATGCAAATGGAGCCTGCCAAGCTGCAATATGCCCCCATAAGAAGGGGTCTGACCTTTTGGGTTACATTCATCTCTGTACAGAGATAGTATAGTAGAAAGAAGCAACCAAACATTAAAACTTACTATAGAAAAATAAAAGTAGACTGGTACCCAACTAAGGGATTGCCTAGAAATAGCCTAGCCCACTCCTTATTCATTTTAAATTTTTTAACACTGGATGCCAAAGGACAAGCAGCAGCCACCCGCTTTTGGCATTCTGAGACACAAAAGCACTTCGCCTTGGTATTGTGGCAAGACCCTTTAACCAACTCATGGTGGGGCCCAGACCAGGTCCTCATGTGGGGACAAGAGTCAGTGTGCATTTACTCCAAAGAAATGAAATCTGCCAGATGGCTGCCAGAAAGACTGGTTAAACAGGTAGATCAAATTGACCAGATAGAGAATGACCTCATAGATGATTCCAGGGACTCAAGTGCACCCTGAGAATATTTTTGTGTTTCCTTACAGATGAGTCATCTACAATGGATCCTACCACTGGGAGCTTTTGTAGTTCTGGCCAAGACCATCGATGGTGGCTTTGGGACACCAGCATACAAGGAGGGCCCCAAGATTCTCTCAGAGAACATTTTGTAGAAAAGAGATTACAAGAGATCTGGGAACGAATGTTCCCAAAGATCCATTACCATCCGTTGGCACTCTCCAAATCATGTGGAGCTGACATAGATACTCAAACCTTAGACATTCTTAAAGCCACCCATTTTAGAACACTTGATAACCCTCTTACTTCTGGTTTCAGTTGGCCCATGCATTTTTAATAGGCTAATTGCTTTCATTCTACAGCAGTTGGATGTGGCCTTGATGAAGCCTATACAGGTCCATTACCACAGGCTTGAGATGGCTGAAAGGGAAAACAGCACTGGAATACAACCAGCTTATGATGATGAAGGTCTTAGTTCTCCCACCCTTGGTGAGATGGTCAGGCTAGCCAAAAATGGGTAATGAGGGGCATACACGAGACACCACTCAATGCCTAAGACAGGAATGGGACCTTCAGCCATCCTGGTCTCCTATGATAGGTAAGGTTTCAGTTGGGTCTGTGCAGAGGAAACCTCGACCTAAGACAGGCACTGCCCCCTCAAGGGAATCAGCCATCTAAAAAGCCATATTTTACATACATATATAAAAGTAAAGGGGGACCTGTGGGAGGCACAATTACTCCAGGCCTCCAATCCTACTGCAAGTGGGTTTCTGGGTTCCTCTTCTGCTACCTCTGCTGAGCTAAGTTCCTAGTTCCTCTTACCCTGCCTATTTCCCATCAGTCTTCTGCTATGCCCTGGAGGTGGGACTTCCTGTCATAGCCCGGTTGCCTAGTTATTCGCGCCTTTTACCCGCCAACGTCATTTCCCTGTGCCTCCAATATATATACCCAGAGTTTCCTTTGAATAAATGAGATTTGATCAGAATCCTGTTTTGTCTTCATTTCTCGCATCTCTTGTCCTTTGTCCCCTCTAAAATTCCCCGCTTCTCTCCGAGGTGACCTTCTTTGACTAACCCACTGGTCGGGACAACCATTTTGATTTTATCACAGTAATTTTGTAGTATAATTTCAAGTCAGGAATTGTAATGCCTCCTGCCTTGTCTTTATTGCCAAGGATTGCCTTTGCTAATCTAGGTCTTTTCTGGTGCCAAATAAATTTTAGGAACGATTTCTCTATGTTTGGGATGTATGTTGGTGTTAGTTTGACAGGAATTACATTAAATCTATACAATAATTTTAGGAGTATGGCCATCTTCATGATGTTGGTTCTTCCTATCCAGGAGCAGGGAATATCTTTCCATTTTCTGAAACCCTCTATGATCTCTCTTTTTACAGTACTGTAATTTTCTGTGAAAATTTCTTTGACATCTTTGGTTAAGTGAATTCCAAGGTATTTTGTTTTCCGTGGCACTGTTTTAAAAGGTATTGTTTTCCTAATTTCCCTCTCAGTGTGTGTGTTATCTGTGTAGAGGAATGCTATTGACTTTTTTTTCCAAAATTTTATTAATAAACAGATAGCAATGAGACAATTTTAAATCAAATCGGTAGTACAGTTTCAATAACCAACACACTGCATATATTCTTCTTAGTGGTTAATTGCTGTGCAAGATGTGGACTTGAGATCCTATTAGAACAAATCATTCTACTCATTAAGAGAATGTAAATATATATCTATCCTAACCACTTTGAATACACAGATACAAAATGAACATTCATCTGTATACCCCCCTTTTTTCCCCAAGTTCCGTTATTTGAATATTATAGGTGTGTAAACTCAGCAAAATATTCTAAAAGAGTGCAGTAGACCATAATAGCATTGGGTCTTCTGTTTATCTGGCAATGTCAGAAATTATTGACCTGAGTCCCCCACAGCTCAACATAACAGCATGGCTTTACTTCCTATATTTCGTCTTCATACTTTTCTACTGGATGGTTTGGGTCCGAGAAGGTCAGTGAAATCCCCTCAGGATTTATCCTGAGATCCTGTACCTCAGATTGTAGAAACTTTTTCAGTGTCAGCCATGTGGATGAGTTATGGCCATTGCTTGGCTATTGACTTTTAAGTATTGACTTTGTCACCTACTATGCTACTAAATTTGTGTATCAATTCTAGTAGCTTCTTGCTGGTATTTTTTGAGTCTTTCTAATAAAGAATTATGTCATCTGCAAATAATGATATTTTAACCTCTTCTTTACCTACTCTTATTCCTTTTATTACTTTCTCTTATCTAATGGCTCCAGCTATTGATTCCAGAACTATATTGAATAGGAGGGGTGATAGAGGACATCCTTATCTTGTACTAGATCTGAAAGCAGTTTTTCCTCATTTAGAATTATATTATCTCTTAGGTTGTCATAGATGGTATTTATCAAATTGAAGTAGAGGCCTTCTATTCCAATTTTTTGTAGTACTTTGAACATGAATGAGTGTTGAGCTTTGTCAAAAGCTTTTTCTGCATCAATTGAGATGATCATGTGGATTTTATATTTCGCCCTATTAATTGAGTGTGTTACATTTATAGATTTTTGAATATTGAATCATCCTTGCATTCCTGGGTGGAATCCTATCTGGCCATGGTGTATGATCTTCCTGTTGATTTGCTCTATTGTATTTGCTATAACTTTATGGAGGATTTTTGCATCTATGCTCATGAAGGAGATTAGCCTTTGGTACTTTTTTAGTTGTGTCTTTCCCTCGTTTTGCCATTAGTATAATACATGCCTCGAGGAATGATTTGGGGAGGGATGCTTCCTTTTCAATTTCATTGAAGAGATCGAGGGGTGTAAGAATTGTATGTTCTATAAATTTCTTGAAGAACTCAGTTGTGCATCCATGAGGACGTGAATTTTTCTTTGTCAGCAGGCTTTTTTTGTAGTTCATATTTCATTGACTGTTGATGGGTTATCGAGTGATGTTATATCTTGATTTAGTTTTGGTTATTTGTAGCTTTTTAGGAATCTGTCCATTTCATATGTGTCTTCTATTCTGTGAGCATAAAGATTCTCAAAGAGGCTATTTTTTTCAAAATTTTATTCATAAACAACAATGAGACAGTTTCAAATCAAATCGGAAGTACAGTTTCAAGAAATAACACACTGCATATATTGTTCTTAGTGGTTAATTGCTGTACAAGATGCGGACTTGAGATCTTATTTACAAACACCATTAGAACAATTCATTCTATTCATTAAAAGAATGCAACTATATATCTATCCTAACCACTTTGAATATACAGATACAAAATGGACATTCATCTGTATACCCTATTTTTCAAAGTTCCGTTATTGAATATTATAGGTGTGTAA